GACAAATGATGAGACCATATGATACAACAATAAAGGATTTGATTTTGAAACACAAATTTCCTTAGTAATTTAATTCACATGACCACAAGAGCTCTAACCACATGACCGAATCTAATTGAATATTTAACAAATATGTAACTAGGGTTAAGAAATTCATCTAAAATACAAAATACAGCTTTGATTTCCAAATGCATGTGAAATTCTACTCAAAACTTTCTCCTTATGACAAATCTTATCAAAAATCAACCCAGCTTTGATTTCCAAATTGCTTTTCAGCGCATTTCGAGTCAACACATACCTTTTTCTTCTTTGATTCTGTCAATGTCTTCGGCCTCTGGTCTTCAAAATCATCGTCCGCCATTTTCTTCGCACTCTTCTTCTGCTCGTGCTCTATCGGACCATAATCGTATTAGCCGCGTTAGATTTCTGTGTGTTTTTATGGTAAATGCTTTAGGGCAGGATTTAGAAGGCGGTGTAGATTAGAGGGAGGGTATTTTTGGGATGGCGAAGGAAATTAAGTCCTATTTGGGGGATTTAAGTTTTGGAGTCCTATTTAGGTATATTTGATAAGTTTTAGTCCTATTTCGGTTTTTTTCCCTTTTCTAAATTTGAGGGTTGCTAAATTTATTTTTTAAATAGTTATATTTATACAATTCACCTCATTTTAGTGAATCTATAGTCAATACGGAGTATAAATTTGATATTGTGTCGATTTAACAAAATTGGGTGGGAATTACTCCCTCCGTCCCAGAGTATTTGTCTACTTTCATTTTTGGACATCATCCAATGCACTTTTTTAATCCATTTTATCTTGTAATTTGTATATTAAAAAATTATAGAAATTATATATTAATAATCTATATGTTAAGACAAATCAAACAAGATCACACATGACTATATTTAGGCTTACACATTGAGAGAATTTGATGAGTCAAAGTGCTTAGATGAACAGTTTCAAAAGTCAAAAGTGGACAAATATAGCGGGACGGAGGTAGTACTCCCTCCGTCCCAAAAAGTTTGTTACGTTTAGAAAAAACTGCGTCCTGTAAAGTTCGTTACATTTCTATTAAAAAACCACTTTTACCCTTACTTTTCCATACCCTACCTATCACATCATACCTTTTTTCTAATAATCTACCCATCACATCCTACTTTTACCCATCACATAAAGGATATTTTTGGAAAGTCAATACTAAAATATCCCTCTCTTAATTTCCCAAAAAGTCAAACCGTCCCATTCTTTTTGGGACGGAGGGAGTATATGATTATTTATGGTATGGATTTAGCATCACTTACTACTTAATTACTCCCTCCGTCCTAAAATCATCTTCTCATTTCTTTTTTTATTCATCCTAAAACTATATTCTCACTTATTAAAAAAGGTAAGTAAATGATTTTAGAATTAAGTTAGGGGTACACCAACATGGGGTACCCCAAGTGTACACCAAGCCAACACAGACAGACACAGACACAAAATGTCTGTGTTGCACAGACATTTTATGTCTGTGTGTGTCTGTGTTGGCTTGGTGTACACTTGGGGTACCCCTAGCATTGCCCATGATTTTAATACCCTCAAGCATAGTTTTCAGAACCGGACCGGTGACCGAACCGGTTAAGGTACTGGTTCACTGGTTTACTGGTCGAACCAGTGGTTCAACTGGTCGAACCGGTGGTTTAAACATATTTAAAAATTATATAAATATAAATTATATATGTGTGTGTGTGTGTGTGTATGTATATGTATATATATTTACACACACATACATACATACATATAGACACACACACACATTCTCATTTATAAATATCTAAAGAAAGTAATTTATAACATTTAAGTAATATTATATTAATATACTTGAGTTATTTTATAAAATTAAAAAAATAAAATTTACATATTAAAAAAATATAAAAGAATTTTAAATGAAGATTTGATTTTATTTTTTTCAAATAATTTGTTTAATATTAAAAAAACGAAATCTTTGCATGATTTGCATTTTGTAATGGTATCAATAATATCAATGATTTTGTGTTTGACTCATAGCTATATAATATTATATTTATAAAATTGAAAAGGAATTTATATACAATCTTTTTTGTAATTATGAAATATTATGAATTATTATGTGAACTTGTAACAAAAAGCATCATTGCTTGGATGGTTAATAGCTCAACCAAATGTCTAAGAGGTCTTGGGTTCAAACCCCCAAGGAGGCATGTTTTGGAAAAAATCAGAAGAAAAAAAAAAAAATGTGCGGGCCGATCCGGTCCGGTTTTTAAAACTATGCCCTCAAGTTCCACTATATGTCTATCTTCCCTGTGTTCGATTCTTTTCTCTACTCTGTATTTCTTTCTCTTTCTCCATTATCCCTTCTCTCCATCTTCTCATTTTCCTTCTCTTATCTTTCTTCTTTCTCCTGTTTTTTTCTATCTTATCATCGCTTCTCCAGATGTTACCGTTCCATTGACACAACAATCGGAGGTGGATCTGACGAAATCAATGGCGGATCTAACGAAGTCAATGGCAGATCCCCAAGTAACAATCTGTGGATTCAACGGAAGATCGAATGAGATTGATACTGGATATGAAGTGATGATGCCGATTCGATCAATGGCGGATCTACACGACGGATTGATATTGGTTTGGCAATTCCATCGCATGCCCTCTTTGGATTTCATCAATTTAGCATGTTGTTTTTGTTTTTGTTGTGGTGATGAGGCACAAAAACAATTCGTAGATTTACATGTTGATTTCAGCATATTCAAGGCTGGTTGTTTTAGCTTTTGATTTTGTTCTTGTTTCTAGGTTTTCTTTTTTATGAGTGTTTTTGTTCATAGCACTACTACAGATTTAGCATTTGACAGAGCCCTTATGCCAGAGGATAACTTAAAATTGGTGTGTAAAGTGCATCAGCAATACCACGCCTCAATTCCTAAATTAAATGAGGAGATCTACGGTCCATTCTTTTCCGCCCGAACATCTCTCAGCTCCCCCCGCGGACTCCATCAGATCGGCGAACTCAACCACCAAAATCTCGCCGCTGATTACCTGATTCTCACTGCAAGATTGTCGCCGAGTCTCCCTCCTCTACTTTGTTCCGCACAAATCTCTAGGTCAGAGTGGTCACGTCGACAGAAATCCAACCCAAAACCTAGGTATTTGCTTTCCCAGATTTAAGTTTTCTTCAAATTTTTGTTAAACTTATTGGGTTTCTCATTTTGTATCCTGATCATTTGATTTTGCATTCTTAGAGAATGAGCCAATTACTTGTTTTTAGGTTTGGTATTGTTGCCTTCCGATCCAGGGAGTAAATTTGTTTTTATTTCATTTTTTTGTTTATCCCCAAAACTATCAACAGTGATAGTTAATTGAAATGATTTTATACAAGGTGCAAAAAAACTGATTCTGAAATCCTTTTCCATTACAAGAATAGCGATTCAATTATTATATCTAACAGTAATTTATTTTTGGATTATATAAAATGAAAATTTTAAAAATTCTTTTAAGATGGAGAAAATAGTTTGATAAAAAATACTCCGTATATAGAGCATAGGGTAAATCCTTTCCCTACTATGTTGTTCTTTCTCTTAATAGTAAATTCACTTATGACACATAAAACACCTTAGAATATCCACAAACTAACCATCTTGAACATTCACTCTCGTGCTTTTAACCCACTAGTGAGCAAAGTGCTATTATATTTTTGAGTAAATTTCATAATTGGTCCTTTATAACAGGGGGTTTCCATATTTAGTCCTCTATTATCAAATATTACCCTCGTAGTCCTTTTTTAAGGGTGTCTTTCCACAAATGATCCTTTTTTTGATCTGCCGTCAAGTTGGTATTAATTTAAAGGCTAAAAATATAATTTGACATCAACATTATGTCTAGTGACGTGTTCTGATATTAGTTAAGCGGATAAAACAAAAATAGTGACTATGACTGTGGGCTAGAATTCCGACGAAAAACCATATTTGTAGACTATGGTTGTAGCAGAAAGCGACTGTAATTCACAAACGACGCAAACGAAACAACCTTTGGAATTGTGTATGACAAAAAAGATATATTATCATTGTAAAATTACACTTTTAGCCCTCAAATTAACACCAACATGATAGAAGATCAAAAAAAGACTATTTGTGGAAAGATACCCATAAAAAAAGGACCACTGACCACTGGGGTAATATTTGATAATAGAGGACTAAATAGGGAAACCTCCTTGTTATAAAGGACCAATTATGGAATTTACTCTATATTTTTTTTCTAGAAAAAGTAAGTATCATACTACCCAATTCTTCTAGCTCTAGTATTCATCATCAAACCTCCTTCTTCATCCAAGGATCTTGCTCAATGGCCTCTTAACTCAAGTGAAAACCTCAGTAATATATCATCATAAGATATATACATCTAGTTTGGACAAAGGGAGCATGTTTTTTGTGTGCCTTCTACTTACAAATTACATGTTTTTTTATCTTTTAAACTAAGGGATGCTTAATCTACTTACTGTATGTGCTCAGTATTTCTAGCTGTAGAATCTAAAGTGAACTTAGGAACCCTTGCTAGCGACTCTGCTTGAACAGAAACCAAGGTACTAAATTTTTCTTTCTATCATTTTAATATTTTTACACACTGGAAACTCGATATTGAGAGCTGACTTTGAAGAACTGTCTTTCTTTGGTTCAAGATATTATTTAGGTCATTATGTTATGGAAATTTTGAAGATGCTTTGGTTGGGAAGCTGCTTGGATGGAGTCTACTGGATTGTTGTTTTGTTTTAAATTGTTATGTATTGTGTTAATTTGGTTTATAGGATGCTTTAGCAGCATCATATTTTTTTATTGTACAGGTTTTGGGATCGACCCCTTTTTCATTATATGAAAAGAACTTTTATTTCGATTAACGTATAAACTTTGTATATTCTTATGGATATGGGGCTGCCTCACTACGGAAATGGGCCTGCTGTGGAGTACACGTTCTGCTTGGTGTGGGGAGTCCTGTGCAATCATCTACGACGAAAGTTTATTTGCCTAGTCCTTCCCCCTAGAACGGGTCCAGGTGTTTGCCTTTGGATCCTTCTTAGCCCCTATAATGAATTCCTCATCTAATTTGCTCTTCATGGCCATCTCCTTTGGACGAGTCCAAGTGTAGTGAGAATTTGATTGATGGTAGGTGAACCACATCTAATTTGTATTATGTTTTATTAAGCTTCCGCAACATTAAATTACTCCGTTACTATTTTGAATGGCTTATTATGAAATAAAGTTTTAAATGTTTGAAATATTTTTGAATGTCTATGAATATCAAGTTTATACTTTAGTTCGAAAGGGGGTCCAGACCTGGACGGATTAGAGCGTTACACCCCTCCTCCCTCTATGACAATCTATTTGATAGAGTGGAGGAGGCTAAGTAAGTTAACTAGTTGCTACTCAAGCGTGAGCTTACCGCCAATCAATGCCTATGCATGGAAACAAGTCTTTGACCCATCACTCATTAATGAGCATCAATCTAGTAATCAATCAAGCCATCCATGATGGAGCAGAATCTTTGCTACGCAATTAACTCTCGCCGATGGTAGGGAAGAGTAGCTGGATCACCCCTATCATCGGATCGTGCCATTCCCGTCAATCTGTCTGTTAAGGTTTGGCCGGGCTTATATGAAGAGTTATGTTCGAGATTACCTCCTGTTGCAAACCAGGCAAAAACATGGCCGGTCACCTTTTGGGAAGACTTTACCTATCATTTTCCCTAAATGCTTCCGCGTCTTCCCAAACACTATCGATTCTTGACCGGTTATAATCTGACACATCATTTTTCGAGTAATCGAGCCGGGTATAAATAATATCCATCAAGCAATATTATTATTCCAATATTTTAATAATTAAATTTAGAAAGATTTTTGAAAATCTTAATTGAATATCTTTAGATTTTGAATGATTTTTCAAATCTCAATTTTACTGAGTTTAAACAATTTTTAAAATCTCAATTGTGTACCCACTGATTTTTAAGACACAAAAAATTATCAGAATCGTGATTGAATACACTCCTAAGACTTTATAATATTTTCTAAATTCTAAATAATACCAAATGCTTTAAAATAAAATGAAAATCCTTCAAACTTTATATTAAATAAACCCATAAGTTTAGTTGATGTCATGATTTGAAGAATAAATTGGAAGAATTTGCAAAAGTGATGTAAAACCACTGCAGATCTCATCATTTGAGGAATAAATTTAATTAATGAGTATTAATCATCACAATTAAGGTTATCATAATACACTACTCTAGGGTGGTTAGAGACTTGGTTGAGGAAATAGTTTAATGAGTAATCATGGTGTGGGGGAAATGATAGGGTTCATTCATATTGCAATCTAGGCGTACTATTTTTTTTCCTCATTCTATTTGGGCCGGCAATAAAGAGGAGTAATGAAGAAATGGAAGAATGAAAAGGCCAGGAGCTTTTTCACTGCTAAAAGTCATCATAATAAATTCATAATGGCAATGTTTATTGTCAACCAATATGCATCATCATTGCTCTAGATATACTCTTGAGTACGCCGGAGTATACTTTGCTTCTCTCAAATACGGAGTCTGAGACTTGGGGAAAATCGAAAACTACAAATCAATTGAAACAAGTTAGAAAAAGATTTGAATCAAAAAAATTAAAGCCGAATGTAAAAAAAAGTCGAAACAAATTGTTATTATTTGATTTTTTGTTTTGATTTTCACTTTAAAAAACTGAATCGAACCTTCTTAGGTATTTCCCGTTATGTATATGAGTACACGTGATATGCGAAAATAATCATAGAAATATAAATACAAATAACTAATTAGTTGATTAAAGTTATTTTTTCTTAAATATTAAACACTTTAAACCATATTATAAATTTTAAAAAACATATAGGTATTTAAACACTAGTAACTAATCCTGAAATGGAGCTATATTAACATTAAATATTGATACGAGTAATTCTCATATTTACATGATAAACTTTGATGTTATAATAGAAATCAAAATATTATACCAAAAATGTAAATTATCTACAATTAATATTTACATACGAAGGCTTTCGAAGTAGTTGGGATCCCCTAAGTGTTTGTTAGGCAGTCAACACATATTTTTTTTATGTAAAACTGAACTAAACTCTAACCTGTTGTTCAGTTTTTTGTTTTGGGTAAAATTGAACCTAAAAAACCAAAACCAACCCACATACATGTTTTTATAGATTCATTGAGTTAGTGTTACAATTTTTCAATGCTTATAAATTTTTATTTTTTAAAACTAAAAAACCAGAAAAAAACTAAAATAAAAACCACATAAAACCAAACCGAATAATGAACAGTTTACATATTTTTGGTGCAAAACTGTACCAAACCAAACCACCAACTTACCTTCCGTTTTGTCTTTGGTTTTGGGTGAAAACCGAATCCACCCATATATGAGACCTTCTGTGAGTTGTTTGAAATAAATTTATTCCAATCTTATTTACAAATTTTTGGTACACGAAATTTAGGCCAAAGAATTAGACTTAGAGCCTCATTTCCAATTCTATTTTTTGATAGCATGAAAATACGTAGATTTGGAATTAAATTCTTATTTGAAATTTTCCAACTCCACATTTTAAATTCCATAATACAAGAATAGAATTTAAAGTTTTGGAATTTTAAATTTACTGGTTAAAATGATCTCACGTGGATCCTTTCTAGAGGAAATGTGTCGTATAAGCTTCACGTGTTACTGGACAATAGTACTCCATCCGTCCCCAATTTGATTACAAATTGCGGGTTACGGAGTAAAATTTCTTACTTTTTGAAATCATTTTATTTACAAATTGGTATATCAATAAGATATAAAAATTACATATTAAAAAACTACGTCAAAAGTTCTATAAAACAAGATGTGACAAAAATATTTTATTTTATCAAATACTTAGTGAAATCGCGTAAACAATCAAAAGTTATCGAGAGGAGAGAGAAAAAAAGATTGTAATCTATTTAGGGACAGAGGGAGTACTTTTTATGCTGACTTTTGACTTCTCTCACTAACTTTTCTTCTTTAACTAATCAAAAAGTCAAACTAACAATTAAAAACTAAAAATTTAAAATATGAAAAATTTAAATTAAAAATTTAAAATATAAAATTAAAATATAAAATTTAAAATTAAAACTTAAAAAATTAAAAAATAAAACACGAAAATTCAAAAATTAAAAGTTTAAAGATAAAAAACTAAAAATTCAAAATTAATAATTAGAAACAAAAATTTAAAAAATAAAATTCAAAAATAAAAAATAAAAATTTAAAAGTTAAATTTAAGTTTAAAAGTTTAAATTTTAAAAAAAATTTATAATTTAAAAATTGAAAAATAAAAAAAAATAAAAAATAAAAAAATTAATTTTAGATTTAAATTTTAAATTTAAAAATTGAGAAATTACAAAATTAAATTTCAAATTTTAAATGAAAAATAATAAATTAAAAAATAAAAACTAAAAATAAAATTATAAATTTTAAAATTTTAAAATTTATGATTTAAAGTTTTAAATTAAAAATAAAAAACGAAAAATTATAAATTATAAACCAAAATTTTAAAAATTAAAATTCAAAATCAGTTTAATTCTGAATACTAAAAATTTTAACTTTAAAATTAGAATTCTAAAACAAATTAATTTTAGAATTTAGAACCTAAATTAGTTTTCCTTTAATATAGAAATAATAATGTTATGAATAAAACATTTGCAACCAAAGACTCGAAGATGGGAAAGGTTTGGCTTTCTCTCTTTGTACAGTTCATAGGGCGTTTTCATGAGTATCGGTCGAATGACGGCTCGGTTTAACACGTAGCTCGCGGTACTCACGGCATCCGCCCAAAAATACTTAGGGATTTTTGCCTCATTGATCATAGTTCTAGCCATCTCTTCGAGACATCTATTTTTACGTTCCACCACTCCATTTTGTTGTGGTGTACGTGGGGCTGAGAAGTTATAATCAATGCCAAGTTCGTCACATAAATCTGAAAACAGATTTCGTTCGAACTCTCCCCCATGGTCGCTTCTTATGGCTACTATGGTTGTTTCTTTTTCATTTTGAACTTTCTTTAAGAAATTTTTGAAAACATGAAATGCCTCACTTTTATGAGTTAGAAACAAGGTCCATGTAAACCTAGAGTAGTCATCGACAATCACAAACGCAAAGTAATTGCCACCAAA